CGACCCAACGGACGGAAGGGCCCCCGCACCCTCCCGGGAGTGGCCGCCGGGACCCCACGCCCCGGTCACCAACCGGCACGACGGTCCACCCCGAGATTATGCGTGACATGATAGGGCAGCCTCACGAACTGGTTAGGAAAGCTCGGGCCCCTGTACTGTGCCACGGGCGGCCAGCGGGACAGCCGTTTCTACGGGTCTCCCTGGCCGGTGGGTCGATGCAGTCCTCCCGGCATCGGTTCGACGGATGCCTCCACTGGACCGAATCTGTCGCGGCAATCTCCACTCGAGCTCTGGTTGTACGCTGGCTGATCCCGAAACGCGCGTGAAGCACTTCACGGGTTTTTCACCATGCGTACGGTGGTAACAAACCAGGCGGGTGTTAGGCACCCTACCACCAGGACAGCAGATGGAAGCTCTGATATCCCTCAGTCGCTTCTTACGACACCCGCGGGAAGTGAAGGGGCGGTGAGTGGTATTCTTTCTCCGTCACCGCACGGATAAAAAAAAAAAAATCAGACTGGATACAAAACACTACCAAAAAACCTTTGTTAAATATTCAATAAATATGATTTACATCCATAAGATGCCTTTTTTTACTTACTTTTCAATCAGGTGTCTACTCTACGACTTATAAATTTTACTCTATACACAAGAAAAAAAGTTTGATTGGAACTCAGAGTTTCAGATTTTAATCTCAATTACTATGAACGTAATATATTATATAGTTATAAAATATCACTGGATAAAAAAAATATTTGCACCAACATGCACGCATACAAACTGTCAAGACAAAAACCTTAAAATAAGTTATGTCGTACGTAACAATCAACAAAATTAATATTGTGATAATTTTGTGTGCAGAAGTGATGCAAATGGCGGAAAACTCAAAATTATTCAGAAAACAAATTTATTCAGAAAGTAGATCGCTGATTTTCAATAGATAAATGTACTATCAAATGATTGGAAGAAAATTATCAAAGGGAATTTAATAGAGCGAAGAAGTTTTGGTATATAGTCACAGAGTTTGTGATAAATACTTCCGTATTCGCATTATTTAGAGCTTTCTCGTCGGTTCATCAACTGGAGACCTTTTTAATAAGAGTTGCGTGAAAAAATTGAAAGACGACGAGCATGCAATGAGCGGTTGATGAATGTTCAAGAAACGACAGGGGTGTGTCTGAGCTGTGCGGCATGTGGAGATCAATTGTCTCTTTCTGCCCCTCTGAGAAACCGATGTGACTTCTGTATATGTTATTTTCATATCTAGTGTAGATACCTACGAATATATAATCTTGAAACAATAGCAGGCAAGGCTATAGTATAAGTGAGAATGTGCGTTGAAATGTAATAACTAAGGAAACTGCAGAAATAGTGATTTCTTATTATAATTTTATATTGTATTTGAAAAATTTATAATTTAATTTTTATAAGTTTATTATATTTATTTAAAGCATTTAACAGCTACATGTTTATTTATTCATTTTAATTGGCTGAATGTTGTCCCTATAATTTGCCTTTGCCGCTAAAAATCGAGAGATGGTGTCGTTTGTCAGAACTTGTGCCGCGCTAACGCGACACATTTTCAGTTCCGATTTTCTCGCTGCATGCGTACAATTAGCCCGTAGGTAATTATGCAAGGATCCGTTGAAGCGTTTTATGCGGTCGCGCGGTAATGCCGCGGCGCTCAAATCGCGTAAAACGCGCCGCTTACGCCCTCGCAACACTTGATTATGTTTACATTTTAATAGTGCGTAAAGCACAGATTTAATAATTTAAAATTGTAATAGCTTGCGTGTAATAATGAATATGATTATTGTGTATTGTTGCTGTGTTTATGGCTATTATATTATTACTTAAAAAACCGGCCGCCTATACTAAGAGTACAATGAGGAAAGCGCATGTTTCTTAGCTATTAGAACATGATTTAGTATTTTTAGTACCTATGTACAATCTGTCGTTAATCTAAAGTGCCAAAGAGTGAGGTTAGTTTCAGAGTAAATTTCAAGCGAAAACATTACGGTTCAAGGAGATTGCTCAAATTGGCCCAAAAATACAAAAAATATTGACATATACGGTGATTCTTGGCGTAATTTATACTTTATTTTACAGTAATTAGATTTTAACGGACACCTTTGATTAATATATTCATCTTAAAAAGGACTTTTAATTTTACCGGTTTGGAAAACATACAAATCATTTTTAATGGCTATGGGTGTAGTAATATTCAGCCAAAAACTGATCTAAGTTGTTTAATCAAAATAAATCTATTTTGTAAAGATCGATAAAATAAAACATTTTTTTTTATTATACTGTGGTATTAATATCCACAACTATATTATCATTTTCACTACACGCAAATGTGCTAAGACAATTATTATTATAGATGGTAGGCGACATCATAATATCAATAATCTATTGGCATACATTTTTCGCCAAACACCTCCAACACATTATAAGTTGTGATATACTAAAAATATACAGTATGGTTATAATATAAACATAACAAAAATAATGAAGCTACTGAAGATATAGCTGTATGACCTAAATCTCTTAGCTTTCTTCTGTTAACGAGAGTTTAAAAATTCTCTCTAATCTGTGGCTCATTCACAATTTTCTGTCACAGAGTACTGCAGAGTACCTTATTATAACCGGAAATGCATAGATGATACCTGATTTTAAAAGTTACTCTGGTGCATTTACTTTAAAAACAGGCAACTATCTGTTAATATACATGCTCTATATACCTGAATCTAATACATAATTTCGGTACTTGGCTTGATTTCCCTAGTTTACTATATAACTTATTTGTTTTTTATTATTTTAATACCTATGTACCTACTTATTTGCAAACATAACCCCAAAATCATTCAGTGTATATGGTTTATAGAAGTTCTCAGGGGTGTCCGTCAATAATATTCGTTTCTACAGTAATATTTATATAATTTCGAAAATAGGAAATAATTTTTCATGATTATTGGTCTTTAGGCCAAACATGTATGGAAGCTGAGCAATCTCCTTTACGATCTTTATTTAAGTACTAGCAAATCTATGATTTTTTGTAGATCTGATATATTCATTACAAAATTATTCAGCAACATATAACTACATCTAAGAATCACATCTGTATCCATATAACTAAGGTTGCTAGGTACGACAAAAAAAATGTAAAAGTGACCGACAGTCAAGTCACTTGCGCTCGGTCATGTCATCGGACAAGACGGACACCGTTTATTTTGCCCGGACACGCAATCAAAAAAGCCTAACTATGTCCGGTTTTATCCGGATGCCTGGCAACGCTACTATAACGATGGAAATTATAAAAAGAGTAAGGAGCGTCAGTATACAAATGATTAATTTATTTTGATAAAAAAATATATGCTTAATTATAATAAATCACTCTTATCAAATATATAGAAATGTAGTATTTCTTTATATAATTTTCATTATCAATAGAATGTTAAAAATTTTTACTTAATTATTTAAGGTACATATTATTATCTTATCATTACAGACTCAATAAGGATACTTTTGTAAATTATTTACCAATGTAAAAACCTTCAATTAATAGCTCTGATAGTTATCCAAGTTAAATGTTTTCCATTAAATATAATTTCACTGTATTTTAATTAATTCAATGAAATTGAATGTCTACACAAAAATTTAATGGTGCAAAATTTGATCGGGTTAAATACTTGGGCGATCATTAAATGCACTGAACATTGTCCGTTCCGTTCGACGCACGCATGTGCCACAAACGCAATCGCCATTTCCACGTCCGTCATTAAACATCCAGCTTCCAGAAAAGGAATAATATCGACACCGAATTCCCCGAACATTATAATGCGAGCTTATTTTTCGTAACGGTTACATAATTTTCGCGGTATCTTCCTGGGACTTATCTTTATTGTAATTTAAACTTGTGAAAAGGCACAATAACAATTAAAATAATTACTTACAGAAGTAAATGTAAATAACGTTTGCATTATCTCGACTGGTATCACACACCGGCTAATTAATTTCGCGCTACCGATAAAAACCAATTTATAAATTGTATTTGTGACCATTGTGAATTTGGCGGGCTCCTTTTGTTACGATTATTATTTTTAGAAATAGAACGTGTTTTTTTTTCAGTTTTGAGTTGATAAAGAGGTTTGTTTAATATTCTTTGTATTTAATTTAGTCTAGGACTTTTATATTGAGACTCGTTTGTGAGAAGATAAACACACCATTCAAAATGCGAATTGGCAAAGCGACCGAATTTGTGTTTTGTTATTCTTAACTTCGTGTTCACATGACTTAAGACATTAATAATAGCCGTGCGTCTATATTGTCTACCATTTATGATTTTGTAACAATCTGTTTATGATTCATGTTTATATTGGTAATTTTAATGTAATAACAAACTGTCCATATTTTTTTCAACGTAACAGTATAAATTTCCTTGCTATGTCCATAACTCAGAAATTATTTTCTACGCGCTGTAAGTAGGTATCTGACTTTCGAGTTACGATGACAAATGGCACGCTGTCAAAGCGGGCGCGACAAACGTCATCCTGACAGGTGACAAATCGATTTCAACTAGTAACATCGAACTAACCCCTAGTATGTAATTTTATGGTGAATGAAACTAGATTTCAATCAAATGTGTGTACCTTGTATTATAAATCGTTTAGCGGTTTCATTTTATGGTTTGCGACTGACTAAGGCCACATTGTTTCATCCAAAGTCAAATTTGTAATACATAGTAAATGCGTCAAAATTTTACTCCTTCTACTACATATGTATTTGACGTGATATTGTCCAATAATCGAATTTAACTATGTATAACGCGGCCTAAGTTTCATAGACAAAGTTTGCAAAGTAATAAACAAATTAAAATGTCCTTGTAGTGAGTAAAATAGAGAACAAAAAAAAAGGAATCTAGATTGATCCACCAATACAGTAGGGAAGGTGTCAAATAGCATCTTAGTAGCAGCGTGACTATTCTTCACTTCTCCCAGATCTGAACTCGGAATACATGGAGATGGGGTTCCGTGGAGCAGGCGGCATGGGTGGCACATCACGCACCAAGCGCATGCGCACCAGCTTTAAGCACCACCAGCTGCGCACCATGAAGTCCTACTTCGCGATCAACCACAACCCCGACGCGAAGGACTTGAAGCAGCTCAGCCAGAAAACTGGCCTGCCGAAACGAGTTTTGCAGGTAATATAAAAAAAGATGCCATAAGCTCGTTGCACACATTGGGCCAAGGTGATGAGCTATCATGTTCGAATGAGGATAGTGGCTTGACTTGGCGGTTCGTAGTCTACGATCAGCATAGGCTGTCTAAACAGTATCGGTATTTGTACATATTTATATGTAAAAAAACTGACACTGTTTAGACGGGGGTCATAGCGAGCTTCTCGAATACTGTAATTTAATAAAATCGCCAAAAAAAAGTTTAAGCACTTTGGCCCAATGTGTACAACAGGCATGATTCACACTGGTCACTCATACTCGAGGATGCTATGGTGGCGCATTGAAATTTTTGAAAAACGTATTTCCCGTGTTTTTCTTTTATTTCCTTCGATTCGACTGTCTATTGTTTGCAATAAGTGGCGTAAAATTATTGATGTCATCTAAGTTTTCAACTCGTCCCGATAATTTTGTATCCTCGACTTATGTGTCGGCATTTAATCGCAAAAAAGCGGTACACGGGAGCTAATGCGAGTTTAATGTAACGATATCGCATCGCTTACACTAGCCGCTTATCGGCGTTTTGCACTGCGAACTGGTTCCTTTACATTGAGCCAATGACACGCCACAGTGACGCGTTTTGCGACCAGAAAAAGGTTCGCATATTGCTTCTTTTTTATTTTATTTCATAGCCTTTATATAAGCGACATAACTTGAAATTACATACGTTTGTGGACTGTGGAGTCATTACGGTTCAGTGATGCGATTTGATTCAATGAAAATAAGCAACTTACAGCTGTTGTGCTCTGTTTGTGTGATTTTTATTACTCTTTGTAACATTATTTTGAGAGACCCTTAAAATATTTCAAATAAAAATATTTTATAACGAATCTGAGACGCTCCGTTTGGCCTTTATTTATGTATGGCATTTTAATTTGTTTGAAATATTTTATGGGTTGTTTTGATTGTTATTGTTCGAGTTTTTTATGCGGCGAGCGTTTTTTCGCAATGTTTTTCATACGTGTGTGAAACTCTTTATATGATTTTAGTATTTCGTCAAAGGTAAGGCGGCGATGGTGGCATGCTGAAGAAGGTTACACAGCAGTTAAATTCTTTGATAAAATTTATTCAAGATCTCCTACCAGATATTTATTTATTAAAAGCAAATGCCCTTTGGATTAATGCAATCGGGATAAATATTTATCATTGTTCACGATAGCTACGTTATGTTTGAAATACGTTCAAATAAGTTATAACCTACTAATTGATAATTGATGTATCTACACCTTAGTTTTATTAATTCAATAACACCTATGAGCGCAAGGTTAAATACTTAAAAATAAAATAACATATCAACGAGTATGATAAAAAAAAAACTAAAAACAATATTATGATTATTATTTATTATATTATTAATTACTTTTTTTATTCAACTAGACTAGAAAGCTTTTTCTGTTTTTAAATAATTACATATCTTAAAAGATAGGAATAACTGATTGTATAAGTAATTTTTTTATATCAAGTAAAAAGTCACTTTAAAAGCCATCAAATTTTCACGTATTTATTTATTATTTTTATTACATGAGCGTCCCCTTCAAACTTTATAGACACAGCTATTTCGTTACTACAATAAAACGAAACTTACTCACTCCGTCACAACAAGGTATAATGATGTTTATAAACATTATTTTCAGTTAATCAAATCTACCTAAAGTAATTTAGGGTAATATGAAACTAACAAGCAATTCCAATTAGTAGGATAATAGGTAAGCATTTTAGCAAAATATCAAGTCTTGATAAACTGCTTGCTCACTGTTTTGATACTTTGTGCATTGTAAATATCGCAATTTTGATCATGTTGTGTTTCTAAACTTTCTTAACTATAATCCAAAGGTAATTTTCATAATAGATCAGGAATTGACTGTAATCTGCAAGCGTATCATAAATAATTAAATCTGTTTCGATATTTAAAACTAAGCACATTTGAAATTCGATTAATATTTTTTTCTATTTAGGGCGCTAAATCTTTGTTTACGTTTCATAAAGCTTTTTGTGATAGCAACTATACATGTATAAGGAAACTAACTTTTTAATATAAAAAGGCTTTTATCATTATCATATTGGCCAAGAGAGGGGGAGGCCTATGTCCAGCCCACTGATGGACATAGGTCTCCCCAAGGAATTCCAAACTTTTCGGCCCTGCGCTTCCCGCATGCAGTCCAGCGGCCATTAAAAATACTTTGCACACAGCAAAACAAACAAAAGGACGCACAATGCACCATAGACATATTTCCCCACGTGTTGCCAGTAATCAAGGTACAAAGACCCTTTGGCCGCCGTAGACTATATTAAAAGGCCCGCTTGGGTAAACATATTGGGGCAATACAGGCTCTAAATAGTGTAGAAGATGCCGAAATGTGTTTTAGCCATTAAACATATGTGTGATGCGTGCCTACAAAGTTGATTCAGTTAACTAGAAAACAAAACAGTGAGACTTGGGCTATACGGCTTTACTATTTTGATCTTCCACTGGTACGTGTGTTTGTGAAATTATAATCCAAAAATATCGTCGATAACGCTATAAAGCTAGATTAAGTTGAGCCTCAACACATACATCACTACATAATTATATATTACACAATTATTAATTATATATTACATACTTTTTTGCCTGGAGTTTTGTGCGATAATATGAAACGTACAACGTTGTACATTTGGACGTCAAATAATGCTTGTTTAGTTTTCAAAACAAATTATATACATATATAGTATAAAAATTATAAAAATAACTTATCTGATGACGTCTTCATACATTGGCTCATTATAAATTTATGTTTGAATGTAATTTTCTAATTTATTAATAATATGCTATTATTTGTAAACACAATCGTTTTTAGGTCTATCTTAAACTTGGTAATTCATTGGGTACAGTTCTCTTATTACACTCTCAAAACACTTGACATCAATACTTAGTTGTTCAGTAGTTTCCGAAAACGAGGTTTTGGTAAAGTAGATATTTCATGAGAGACATAGATTCTATTTGTGTCATATATGGTTATTGATATTCTGTTTTCTATATACAACTATGACAGTACATGCTTCGTTTTATAGTTAGTATCAACGGTACTGCAATTAGACTTACATTCGCAATAAACCTTCAATAATATGTTCTTTTATTGTTACTTCACAAATTAATTACCTACTAATTATAATGACTCTTAACTTTATCATTATTAAGTTTTGTAGTTAATATTACGGTTCTTTATCTCTATTTTATAGTTAACTTACACTCTAAAATCACTTTAAGGAGATTTTAAGTGTTTTCTTTCTAGCTCGTATCTCCTAGGCACAGTATTTTGTAAATTTTTAGAGGAAAACATTAAATGGCTATTAATTAAGCAAGATTATTTTGTATGGTATTATTATATCCATTCGTAATAAATGAAAAGAACGCCTGGATATGGAATACTTTATAAATTACAGATAATATACCTTTAAAGGTACTTAATGATTCTATTGATCATGTATTTATTTATCATTGTAATTAACAATTATCAGAGAGTATTCAAAATTTACGACTGTAAATAACATATTAAATCATCGTTTTCGTAAACAAAGTAAATCATATTGAAATTAGACACCCGATTATTTGGGTTAAATTATTTCCTGGCAATACTGAGTCATAGCGCGCGCTGCCTCAATTCGCCCTACCAATTACGCGAAACCTCTGAGGACCCCTTGCACCTTCCGAATATTGATCGAGATTTTTTTCGCCAAAAAGCCTCCCGTCTCCGTCGCCATTTTGCTCAGATAGTCCTTATCTGATTAGATAGTCTTTTTCGTTTTTCGTGCGGCAACTTAAGCCGCAGCGGAATCGCTCGGTGTATCGTTTTGTTTTTGTTTCAAAAACCGCTATTGAGAAAAGACGTTGACTCATTCCGATTTCCAGTGGGGTTATGAAATTTTTTTCTACGAAATAGCGTCTTAGAGTAATGCTTTTATTTCATTTGTGTTAGTAGGGACATGGGAAGACAAACCGTACGAACTCCCGAGTTTTCTTGTAATAACATATTTCAAAGTTTTTGTTCTCCCTGCGTAATAAATGATTTATTTTTTTACATTAGGTACAGATGTTACCCTAATAGCTTTACTGTACGAAGGTAACGCTGTTACCACTCGCTGGTAAGTGGTAATAGGATTTTCATAATTTTCCATTTAGTGATAATAAGCTATGCTCTGGTTATGAAATTTATATTTATGCGAATTTTAATTTTAACGCATAACCTACTTAAGGTAATTTTATAATGTAAAATGATTGGGCGAATGATTCAGAAAAATATATTTTGGCTCCAAATTAAATTATAAAAAATACCTCAAGTGAGTAGGAGTACATCTTAATAGGATTCCGGAGAAGGAGTGTCTTTTGAGTCTCGATTCTGTTGAATAGCGGAAAATACTGTTTTATGCTCAACTTGAAGTGTTCAAAAAACGATACCGTTAATTTGTAAATTGTTAATGGCAATCAATAAAGCGACGTAATGAACGTACGATTAAATAAAACTTTTATGTAAATACGAAATGATTAAAAACAGTATACCCCTACATATTACTGATACGAAAGCACGCAAAATACTAAATCTAAATAAAAAAAAATCATTCATTCAAATCGAGGAAGTTTCACTCAACTCTTATAAGAATGCAAAGTACGTAAAAAAGTTGAAATTTAATATAATAGAACTTAGAACGTGATTCTAAGAATTGTGTTGTTTTCATTAATGTTATTATCGGAGTGTTTGAGAAAGTACTTACTAGAGTAGAATTTTTAAAATATGATATTGCGTCTCGTAAGAGTTTAAGCGTATTTATATTTTTAATCAGAATCGATTGCGGAATACAACGGACTAACGATGATTTTTCTTGAGATTTTTTTTTTATCTAGGTGGATATTACTATACTAAACTGTATCAAAAGTATTTTTATTATATATTTAAGGGGTAAACATGGTGATAGTTATTATGTAAAGTGTG